AAGTGTTAATGGTAGAATCTAGGTGGTGGGTATATATGGATGTATGATATTTTAAACTTTGCCATTTTTTAAGGAAATTTTTGTAATGAGATGTTGGAAAAAAGAAAAAAAATCCCATAAAGGTGTCTGGTGCTGAGGTGTTCAGCACTAGCTCTTATTCTGCCAGGTTTTTAGAGAAGCAGGTAGCCTACGAAGGGGAATAGCAGTGAGTGGCAGAGCAGGCCAAGTCTCAGAGATCTGTGAGGGAAAAAGTCAAATTTAAGAATAATGCATAAAGCAGGATGCCATTTATGTAAAATAAAAATGAAAAACAATTGTAAGTAGTTACATGTGCAGAGAGTGTGTGTAGTATCAAAAGAGACTGGAAGGATACACACCCCACTCTCTCGGGAATTACCTCTAGAAGGTGGCCAAGAAGATTTTACTTTTACATCTCATGCTTAAAAAATTTTGTGGGAAATGTAGCCATGTATTACTTGTATAATTAAAATTTAATTTACAAAGAGAAAGTAAGCTGGAACATGGGTTTGGAGGATCCAACAGATTTCTTTTGAATTCTAGCTCAGTTACGTACTCTATCTTTGGACAAGCTAATCTCTTTGTGTCTTTTTTTTTTTTTTTTTTTAGATTTTTTAAAAAAATTTATTTATTTGGGGCGCCTGGGTGGCTCGGTCGGTTGAGCGTCTGCCTTCGGCTCGGGTCGTGATCACAGGGTCCTGGGATAGAGCCCCGCATCGGGCTTCCTGCTCCACGGGAGGCCTGCTTTTCCCTCTCCCACTCCCCCTGCTTGTGTTCCCTCTCTCGCTGTCTTTTTCCCTGTCAAATAAATAAATAAAATCTTTAAAAAAAAAATTTATTTATTTGACAGAGAGAGACACAGCGAGAGAGGGAACACAAGCAGGGGGAGTGGGAGAGGGAGAAGCAGGCTTCCTGCCGAGCGGGAATCGGGATCATGACCTGAGCCGAAGGCAGACGCTTAACGACTGAGCCACCCAGGCGCCCCACCTCTTTGTGTCTTAATTGCCTTATTTGTTAAGTGATTTAATACTATTTTTATAGAATTATTGTTTTGAGGATGAAAGTGTTATATAAAATGACTGGTACCTAGTGGACACCCCATAAGTAGTAACTGTTATTAGTACTGAGCCTTGAGTACAGAACTTCAGGGCTATATTCATGGAGACACAATTAATGTCTTAGTAAGTGACTTGTACCTGTGAGGAATACAAACTGTAAAGCCCAGAAACCGACAACAGTGGAGTAATGCCCAGCCTTGGGCATAAGGGATTTCTCCATCAATTTGTGCCTGGTAGTCTTTTGTAGAACGTGGTGGTTCTAACACAATAAGCAATCCATGACCTTGTGGTAGAGAGTACCTCTGACTCGGTGATACATTCTTGGTAAGAAATAGGAGTTGATGCTCCTGATAATCCATGAATATGGTTGTACAAGTCAATCGATATTTGTTTGACATTCTAGGAAGTGTCATAAGGCTGAGAAAGACTTCTTGGAAAGAATTCATATTTCTTAGACAAAAAAGAGACTCAGCAGGTCATATACGGGAGAATATGGGAGAAAGTAATTCTCCTCAGGAAGGCGTTGTCACCAAATATGCCATGAATTGCAATATACCAGAGAGGATCTCTGGTAAAATATTAATGGGTCAGAGGTTGATCCTGAGTCCACATTTCTTCTTTCACTTTGATATCCAATGTGTTAAACAACAGAAGAGCTTCTAAGAATTGGTGCAGCTGCTTCATTCCTACATGGATTACTGAAACAGCTTTCTATGATTTCCTCTCTCTAGTCTATGTGATGCCACCCATTTTCATTTTGAAAGCAAATAACCCCTTCTTAAAATCATATTAATAGCTCCTAATAGAAGAGCGTTCTGGAGATGTCTCCGCATCCCGACCCTTGCTCTGAAGAACACTGCTCCACAGGAATGGGCCACAGCAGCATGTTTGTATGAGTTGACCTTACTTGCCTAGGCAGAGGTGAACATCTGACACGAACTCAGCCCATCTGGAGTTGAGATGGAGACACACTAGGCTGGTCGCTGGAACTGAAGCAGTGTACAGCTGGAATATGGAAGCCATGCACGTTAGGTAGGCAGAGGTGAGACTAGGAAGGTAGATACCTATGTTCCTGATAGCTGTCTTGTTCGTGGACCAGGCCCCTTTGAAGCCCAGCTGTGTTCTCGCTCTTGGATTCTAGGCAGTTTTCCGGCATCCATACGATAAATCTTCTACTCTCACCCTCATTTTATTTTTTCGTGAGCTAGTTTAAGTGGGATTTTGTTACATCCAAATAAAACAGCTTTGACTAAGACAGCCTTTAGGATGAAAATCAAACACTTTAACATGGTCTGCAATGTTATGATCTAGTGTCTACCTCCGCCTCCATTTTACCTCTGACCTCTCTTAATCAACACCACACATAACTCAGCCCTGATTGGTCTCCTCCCCTCACTTAAGTCCTTCTTCTCAGGCAAGAAACCGTGATAACCTTCCTAGCCTGTGAGGTTCCTTTCCTGTGTACTGGTTATACTGCTATTGTGCCTGGTGGTTTACTTGTCTCTCTTCTATTGACTTTATGTCAATATAGTCAAGACTAGGTCTTACATTTGTTAATGCTATGCTTGTGCTAAACCCTTAAAAGATACCAATAAATAGCAAATAAAATGAATGAGAATCTATTCATAATAAAACTAACTACACAGTGTTGATGTAAAAACTAGATTATGAAACCTGAACCTTCTAGTATAATGAAGTGCTTCAGAGCGTAGGATTTGGAGTCAGACTATTGCAGAGGTAAAACCTATTTACATGATAGGGTTATGAGGATTAAAAGAGATACTGTGTAAACCATTTGTAACATTGTATTAGGCACTTAGTAAGCATTTTGTGATTAGTAGACTTATTTATTGATCCTCAAGGAACTCAGTGAAACATGGCTAAGACTCCTACAAATGTAAGAATCAGTGACTCCATAAAGCATTGGAAAATTCTAAAGGCAACCATTTTCCGAGTTGAAGCTTAACAGGGATGACCCTCTTAATGAGAGCTGTTTGCAAGCAAGTCCTTCCATGAGCTTTGGCTACTATTAAGGTAAAACTGTTTTGCAGGCCTTCTTTTATGTAAAAATCCGTAAGGACTGCTGGCCCAGGATGTGGTTGTGGCTTAAGAGCCTGTCTTGGAGAGCCTGGCATTTCCTTATCAACTCACAGCCCCAGTAGGGGCAGTTTCTCAAAATGACCTGCCCATCCCTCCGCTCCCCTCGCACCCCTACTACACGAGAGACCTGATTTACAGAGTTACAGACACCACAGGCCTTAGAGCCCCATGGAGAGGAGGCAGAGTGAACTGGACGGTAACCCCCTAAGGTTCAGTTCCTGAGAGGCCTGATTGTACTTCCTGGATTGGATTCTTTTTTAAAATTTTTTAAGATTTTATTTATCCATTTGAGAGAGAGAGAATGAGAGAGAGAGAGAGAAAGCATGAGAGGGGGAGGGTCAGAGGGAGAAGCAGACTCCCCACCGAGCAGGGAGCCTGATGTGGGACTCGATTCAGGGACGCCAGGATCGTGACCTGAGCCGAAGGCTTAACCAACTGAGCCACCCAGGCGCCTTTTTTTTAAAAATCTTTTTAAGAGCTGGATTGGATTCTGTAAGATTGCCCCAATTCCTTGCAACAAATTTCCTTAAGCTAGCTTGAGTGGGTTTTGGTTTGTTTCAGTTTTAAATCTTTTTAAGATTTTATTTATTTATTTTGAGAGAGTGCGGAGAGAGAACATGAGCAGGGAGGGGGAGGGGCAGAGGGAGGAGCAGACTCCCAGCTGAGTGGGGAGCCTGATAGGGGGCTAGATCCTGGGACTCTGGGATCATGACCTAAGCTGAAGGCAGATGCATAACTGACTGAGCCATCCAGATGCCCTGGTTCGTTTAGTTTTGAGGCTCACATCAAAAGATTGGTACCAAGACTGGCAGGAAGCCCCAAGGATGCTGTAGAGTTGGGGCGAAGAGGGGTGGTTACTATGGATCTCAGTGTGAGGATCTGACAGTCTGTGGGATTGAAGTGGAAAAATAGCTAAGTCCCTACTGGTAAGCCTAGACCACAGGCCTCCTGCTGGATCAGGGGACCAGATACTCTATCAGGATGTGATTGCTCCTTGGGATCTTGAGTGAAGTACGACAGTAGAGGCAGTCTGAGGTTTATCGGGCAGAAATGGGAGCAGATATAGTAGGAAGAAATTTTCTTCCCTCCTTAACCCTTCTTTCCAACTCCTTCCCACCCATACCATTGGGAGATTTTGGTAAAATTATGTATCAGAGTTATATTGTGAGACATGGCTAATATTGGCAAGATGTTAGTCTTGTAGATTCCCCAGTCGTATGAGTAGAAATTAAAGCCTCTTTCTATGAGGCTCTGTAAGAACCTTCCCCTGCATGGTAGAAAAGATGGTGAGGATTGTGACAGGGAAAAAGAAGAACAGAAAGAGCAGAGTATCCCAGATGCCCAAGTGAAGCACGAGGACTCTACGAACTAGATACTGGAGAGTGACTCAGTGGGAAAAGCATAGAGGTATTTGGCACCATCCAGAGGACTCTGTGTTTGGGACCCAGTTAGTTAATAGATTTTCATATACACAGGACAAATCCTTATTTACTAACATTTGTAATACACCTAGTATGTACCTAGTACTTTATACATATTAACAACACGGAGTGTTTTCATCCTTTAGAAGATGAAGAAACTGAGGCTTTGGCTTTACATAACTTGGCAATGCTAATATGATAACAACTTATTTACAACGAGTAATAAGTAGAGTAAGGTTCTGAACAGTGGCCATCTGAATCTACAATCTTCAGACTTTTTCCACCAACCAATCTGTTTACTCTAAATGACATAAATTCAAAACACAGATATAAAAAGATAGAGGGTTTAAGTGAATAATGTTTCTACTTTTGATATTAATGCAAATATACAAGAACAAACAGCTTTTGAAATCATTCTCAAGTGTTTAATTAAAATCCATATAGCATTTAACATGTATAATGTTTAAACTCTTTCAGTGACTCTTATTTTAAAATCCTTCTGCACAACATTTTGAGGCTAACTTCATGCTAGAGATCTACAAATGTACAACTTAACACAAAAATACATTCGGAGTCCATTCCAATGCAAGTTTAAAACACTTTAATTGCAGACAATGTAAAGATATTTAAAAAACAAAAACTATAAAATGAGCACATAAAAGTCTTCCCTTTTGAATTTTTAATAAAATACTGCTCTGTATAAGATCTAATGAAAAAGTCCAGTTACTTATAAAATAGCTATGTGAGAAAAGAAATGAATTAAGGTATATATGTATGAATTATATTGTTTAAATGAACAGAGTGTTGAACACTTCGATGATACAGCACACTATTTATTATTCATATATCAAAATAGAGGAAAACCCTCAAAGAAGCAACTGGGTGCAAGCAAAAGAAAATGTAGGAGACCTGAGGCAACAAAACAACAAAAAAAACCCAAACCCCAAAACAAAGGATAACGTCCCTTAGCTGCAAAGGGAAAGGAATAAAATAACTTAAAGCAAACTGTGGACCAAATTCTCAGTCTTTTTATTTCATAAGAAACAGTATGAGAATTTGGCTTCAAATTACTAAAAATTCTGTATAAACTTAATTATTTGGCCTAGGCAATTTAATAGTATACCAATTGCTGAAATCAATAGCAATGGATGTACTGCTGGAAAAAAATTAATTTTTACAGGTTCAACTATGTAAAACTATCTACTGGAAACCAGAGTCTCCATCACAAATTGCACTTGAGATGGCTGAATGCATTGATTGAGCAAGGCATAATTGCTGGTTCACTGACATACGTACAAACACAAAAGCAGTTATAGATTGCTGATATTCTTAATTACTAAAACTATTTTACACATTTCCCCCCCCCACCAAAAAAAGAGCGATACCCGAGCTGTTAACTCAGTATGGCAACAGGGACATTTCTGCATGCCTGCTGACTCAGGACCATTGCCTGTCTGTTTCAACACTGTTTCTTACTGCTCCCTGGCAGAATATGGAGAGGTTTGATGGAAATACAAACCAGGTCAGTTTGAAATATTCATTTCTGGAATTTTAAGCTTTATCCTGACTAGGAAAGGAAGCTCCTGTGAAAAACACTGTTCCACTGACAAAGCTTACAAAATATAAAGAACACTGCCAGTTTGAGTACTATCACTATCTCTAGAAAAATGATAAAGGAACTTAAGTGATTAATTTTTTTTTAAAGTAGAGAATGCTTGTCACAGTTATATCTCTCCAATAAATTAATTCTCCTCTATAGTAAAAACACACTTTGGAGGCAAGGTGATCCTAAGAAAGATAGCAAGCTTGAAAAGCTGGGAAATTATACACTGTTGCTTTAAAAAAGATGCTCTGAACAATGAGACAAAGCACGTTAGGCCTAACTTCAATGGAGATCTGGACAGTTTTCTCTACCTTAAGGTAAAAATTAGACAACCACTACAAAAATGTATGATTCATTAATACAAACAGAACAGATGATTAAAAAGTGAGTAAATAAAAAAGCCCCTGCAACTTATCTATTTCCTTGAGCTAGAAAGATAGAGTCTGAAAATGCAGTGATTGGATATATCTTATTTAATTGGTTTCCTTCTTCCAACTCCTCCTTCACTGCTTCTCCCCTTAAATGAAGACTGTAGATTAGTTTGGAAATAACAGTCTAAAACCAAAGCAAATACCTGATCATAGGAAAGGAAAAACAACAAAAAACCTGCATCAAAAAGAGTTCATCTCTCCCACCAATAGAAAAACAAAAACAAAAACAAACCTTATCTTTTCAGTTTTAAAAGAACTCCTTATCCCTCTGAAAAGCAAGAACATCTTAAATTGAAACCAAGGTACACACAGAGGCAAAATTAATGTTTCATGCAACTGACTCTCCGATGTTTTAAGACTTTAGTCTACATGATGTTTAAATCAATTAATACATTTTGTCAAATTATAAAACTAGGTGATGATCAGGTAATGCAGGCAATTGTAACAAGGAACAATGAGACTAGAAGAATCAATTTCAAAATTCACTTAATGCACTCAAAAAAAAAAAAAGAGGGAAATTACTGAGTAAGAATATTTAGATTTAACTTCTTCCGTTACGTGGAAGCATGAAGCAATTTGGGCACTCTGCTCTCCTATGCCCTATAGAGACCACAGCTTTCACAGAAAGTTTACAGCAGATTCAACAGTCAAATGGGCCTATTTCTAAACTTGGAACTGGTCCGAGTTTGCCCCATCCAAGAGGGAAAAACTAAGTTTCCCATACTATCAACGAATCCAGTGTCCTAGAGATTATCATGAGATAAAAATAGTCTCTGTTTCTTATGTCCTGCACAGGGAGGCACAAGTCCTGCTGATCTCCTATTGATCTCATGCCCATATTGGAACAGGTCTACAAAGGAAAAGGAACAGAGATGAAGGCTTGACCACTAATCTAGTCATTATCGAGCTCTTTCCTATTTTAATCTCTCTTCAATCTTGACCTTTAGAATACTATGTGTTTTTTAAAAAGGGAGGAAGGAACAAAAAGAAAACACTTTTGCTGCCTATCCGTGTAGAATTATAAACTCACTTTGCTCAAACACTGGGGTAATATCCTTATGGGTTCAGTGGCAATATGCTTGAAAGTTATCGTGGAGTTTTCAGAAGAATGGCACATGCTCCTTCCTTTGTACTCTAAAAAAGATGTGGGTTGTGCACTGTTTTTAGAAGGGCCACATAGCAGTGATGAGCGAGGCAATTCTTGAATGCTGGAGTTTGCACAGGTACATAAAGTGAAAAATATTAACACACTTTAAAGTAGTAAGAGGTTAACAGAACACTATTATCACAATTTAACTTTTTTGTATTGTATTCTCATAATAGAGATTTCCTTTTAAAACAAATACAGAGTTTGTGAGACACTAAGGACAAACACTGAGAATTATTTGAGCCTCATTATTCAAGATCCCACTACAGATAAACATTCCCAACAAGGACATGCTGGGAACCAATGAACATCTGAATCTGGAAAATTAACAGAAAATAAAATCACAGACGCTCACATGACTATAATAAATGACAGATAATGAACATTTATCTCTTACACTAAAGGCACTACTAATATACAAATATCCTCTTAACATTTAGAGAAACTCTGAAATCAGCAGTTAGAGAAAGGAATCCATTTAGTTCAATACAAGCATTTAAAAAAAGAAAAACAAATAGACTAAGACTCATGGCAGGGTTTTTAATGAGTTAAATGAAACTGGCTATAATAATAAGCAGCTCCATATAAACATTATGGTTCCTACTTTTTAAAAAAGTATGATAACTTACTTCCTTAAAAATATAAGCATATCACAAAAACTAAAGGATGTGTGTGTGTGTGTGTGTGTGTGTGTGTGTGTGTGTGTGTGTGTGTATGTGTATACATGTAAAAACTCAGGCCCTGGTACCACTGAGAAATTTTCATAAATTCTAAAATAATTTCAACAGCCACAGCTTGAACAATACACACCCATACATGACATGCAAAGACAAAATGCCAGAGTCACTGAACAGTTCAGCATAAAGCTAAAAATATGGAAACAGAATGAGACAGGCGTTTGTCATGTAAATAAAGTACATTACAAACTGATTGTGCCTGTATTTAGCACACCTCAGAATTTTTTAAAAAATTAGAATTTCATCAGTCTCAAGAAGCACTCACTACACATGGACCAACAAAGAAGCTCTCATGTATGTTTAAGCAGGTAAAAAGCTATACAAAAGAATAACACAGTTTATTTCAACTAACAACATGATTAATATATTTTACTTTATTCTATTAGAAGATTAATTTGTAGTCCTTGTACCCTGTAGATTTTGAAACTTAATTTTATTAGAAATTTCTAATGCTGGTTCTTGAATAATCTAAAAAATTGTAATTACTTGCTCAAATCTAGGTTGCTATTTATAGTTCTAAGCAGTTAATTGAAATATTCTGATCAGTATTCTAAAGTTGCTTTGGTACAAAATTTAGAATAAAGCAAAACTGGCAGCACCACCACAAGTGTGATCATTTCACAGCAGGTCTAAAGGACCCTCAGAGAAAACAAAATGTAAGTTAAAATACTTTAAGAGCCATTCTCCTGACAAACCTGTCACATCATTAAAAAGAGAAATAAAATCCACATTCAGTAGATTACACTTGAGGCCCAATTTTCATGCTCCATTTAATTATCCCTCAATAGTGTAAAATTTTTTTTTATTATTATTGCACTATGATGTCTAATTCATAGTTCAGGATACTTCTATTGATGAGAGGCCGAGTTAGAGTGGTACATTTTAATGCTTAGTCCACTGATACTATTTTAACACAAGGTTTAATTTAGTTTTTCTTTTTTACAGCTTTACTGAGGTATAACTGATGTAAAACTGCACGTTTAAGATGCACAATTTGATATAGCATGAAAAGTGCCTGACAACAAATTAAAAATTTTAATTGAAAAGAAAATTTTTAATCAAAACATACTATTTTAAAATAGTACACTCTAATTTTTTATGAGACACAGATACAGATTTCTAAAAAGGTGGGTGGAAAGGAAAGAAATTAATTTAATTCCAAGTACCAAATTTATTCAGAAGGTTTAGAAACGCCAAAATTGACGGCCAGTTTTCTTGATTTTCTTCTTGAAGATGAGCTTGGTGTGGACTTGTGATGAGACATACTATGGCCTTGGGAGGCAGCTTCAGCTTGAAAAGAAGATGCAGGTTGAGTAATCTGAGAGGACTTTAAGGAAGCTGATGAACTCTCCTGTGGAATCACTTTGGTGACAATGGAAGACCCTGGCTGGCTAGTCTGAAGCGGGGTAGCTTGAGAATTCTGGACCTCCTTACTCTCAAAGTTCTTTTTATTTGCAACCCTTTTTTTAGTAACCTTTAAGGAATAAAAGTGTCGTTAATTAACAATGTACACAGAAAAAACTAATGTCATAAACCATGTTGCTAATATCTGTCAATTATGCTGACTTGTGACTTCCACTTAATAGTCTCCAAACCAGACTTCAGAAATTAAAAGAAATTTTAAAATTCTCCCTAACTTAAAAATAAAGAAAATTTATATTCCTGATTTTAAAATCACTTTGTGCTAGAAAATACTTGCTGTAATTATTACTGGTCACTGCTGGTCATAATTCTTTTTAAAAAAAATAGAGAGAGATTATGTGTAGAGTGTAGAGATTATGTAAAAAAAATATATATATATATAAATATATTTTTTAATCTCTACATTCAATGTGGGTCTTAAACTCATGACCCTGAGATCAAGAGTTGCATGATCTACTGACTGAGCCAGACAGGCGCCCTGACCACCAGTCATTAATATATATTCTTAGCACCCAGACTAGTACTGGGCTTCTGGTTGGCATTCAATCAGTAATAATTAAACAAATTTTTCTCAATAGTTCTTAAGCATTAACAAATTAACTCTCTTAAAAATATAGTAATTGTCTTTTCAGGTCTCACCTGTAGAGGTATGAACTGATTGTGCACACCACCTGGCATTCCCCCAGCCATGGGCATGGTCCCAGAATATGAAGTATGATGAAATGGCTTCCCAGGAACTGGCACTGGTGGTCCCCATGGCATGGAGCCAAAGAGATGAGATGATGAAGGCATTATATTAGCTGTTAAAAATCATGGATAATTTCTTTTTTAGTAAAATGGGTATCATCAAAGTCCCGAAATTTAAGATCTCCTTCAGCTACCCTTTTGTGGTTTTTTTTTTCCCCATCTTGGCAATGGGCCTACACTTGACTGATTGATTAATTTTGCTTACAACATTCCACCTTGGGAGCCCCCGTTAGGACTGTGAACTATCTACATAAGACAACTTGTCATTTATGTTGTCTGGCCTACAAAGGCCAATAGTACCATATACTTATATGAGCTTTAGGAATATTTGATACTATTTAAAAAAATAATAAAAGGATTATGTCCCTTTGGGGAGAAAAGCCAGGGCACAAAGACAGAAATCTTAAAGATCTCACCTGCCCCCAATGCTAAGTTGCTTCCATAGTGATCCCAGCCTACAAAAAAACCAAAAAAGCTCAAGTCTTGAACTCTGATCACTTTCATATGACATGTAGAATCTTTTTCCTATTCTAGTACTTGTAATTAAAGGATTTTAAAAAATTACATTTTGTTTCTTAAAAAAGTACACTGAATTGTGGTTTCCAAAACTGATTTGTGTATTGGAATCACCTGGGGAGTTTGTCTAATACAGACTCCTGGGCAAGGCCGCAGGCCTAGTAAACCACTCAGAAGGGCCCAGGAATCTGTATTTTTTGAAGTATAGCTGACATACAATATAATATGAGTATCAGGTGTACAACAGTGATTTGACAGATACATTACAAAGTGCTCACTGTAAGTGTGGTTACTACCTGCCACCATACAAAGTTATTATAATATTACTGAATATATTCCCTCTGCTGTACTTTTCATCTTTGTGACTTCTTTATTTTATCACTGGAAGTTTATACCTCTTAGTCCCTTCACCTGTTTGCCCATCCCCCCATTCCCTTCTCCTCTAACCACCACGTTTGATCTGTATTTATGAGTCTGTTTCTGTTTTGTTTTAGATTCTACAAATAAATGAAATCATACGGCATTTGTTTTTCTGTTTTACTTTGATGGACACTCAGGTTTCTTCCATAAGCGTGCATACATCTTTCTGAATTAGTGTTTTTGTTTTCTTTTTTTTTAAGATTTTTTTTTTATTTATTCATGAGAGGCAGAGAGAGAGAGAGAGAGAGAGAGGCAGAGGGAGAAGCAGGCTCCCAAGGAGCAGGGAGCCCGATGTGGGACTCAATCCCAGGACCCTGGGATCATGACCTGAGCAGAAGGCAGATGCTTAACCATCTGAGCCACCCAGGCGCCTGTGTTTTTGTTTTCTTTAGGTAAATACCCAGAAGTGGAATTGCTGGATTATATGGTACCTCTATTCTTAATTTTTTGAGGAACCCAAGAAAATCCGATTTTGTTTGTTTTTAGAGGGGAGGGAGGGGCAGAGGGAGACGGAAAGAGAATCTTTTTTTTTTTTTAAGATTTTATTTATTTATTTGACAGACAGAGAGACAGAGAAAGAGGGAACACAAGCAGGGCGAGTGGGAGAGGGAGAAGCAGGCTTCCCGCGGAGCAGGGAGCCCAATGCAGCGCTCGATCCCAGGATCCTGGGATCATGACCTGAGCCGAAGGCAGACGCTTAACGACTGAGCCACCCAGGAACCCCGAGAAAGAGAATTTTAAGCAGGCTCCATGCCCAAAGTGGAGCCTGATGTGGGGATCTATCCCACGACCCTGAGATCATGACCTGGGCTGAAATCAAGAGTCAGACGTTTAATCGACTGAGCTACCCAGATGTCCCAAACTTGTCACTTAATGTAGTAGTTCCCAAATGCTGCACTGGTAGTGACTGCATAAAAATCCACCTGTGGAGCTTGTTAACAATACAGATTCCTGGGGCCCCTGAGTGGCTGGGTCAGTTGAGTTTCTGACTTGCTTTCAGCTCAGTCATGATCTCATGGTTGTGAGATCGAGCCCCATGTCGGGCTCTGCACTCAGTGTGGAGTCTGCTTGAGATTCCCTCTCCTTCTCCCTCTGCCCCTCCCCCTGCTGGCACCGGTGCTCTCTCTCTCTCCCTCTCTCTCAAATAAATAAAATCTTTTTTTAAAAAGACTTTTATTTATTTATTTGAGAGAAAGAGAGAGCATGAGAGGTGGGGGAGGGTCAGAGGGAGAAGCAGACTCCCCACCGAGCAGGGAGCCCAATGCAGGACTCGATCTTAGTACTCCAGGATCATGACCTGAGCCGAAGGCAGTAGCTTAACCAACTGAGCCACCCAGGCTCCCTAAAATAAATAAATAGGGGCGCCTGGGTGGCTCAGTCAGTTCAGCATATAATTATACTAGTTATACTAAAAATGTATATATAGTTACTGGGTTCATTTTTGAAAGTGAAAAGCCTGTCAAATTAGATTTTGGAAGTCACAGTGAACTTACTCCCTTGAGCTATATGAAAACATCAGATTTATTTAGTCATAAAAATTTTATGACTAGGGCGCCTGGGTGGCTCAGTCGGTTAAGCGGCTGCCTTCGGTTGTATAAAACAATTTTTTATTATTTTTATTATTTATTACTACTAGCTCTGTCCTTCCAATATAAACATATCACAATATTTGTTTAAATATATAAGAGGGGTTTACAGTATGTGGTTGTGTAAATACTGTCATTGCAGAGCCAAACAGGGTACTCTGATTATGTTCTTTTGTAAAACTTTTTTTTACTCTTTTAAAAATAATTATCTTTTTAAAACTTCTTAGTCTTCTATGTACTTAGCCTTGATGTTTTTCCAAATGCCACCCATTTATCAGATAACTATCTTACCTTCCAAGACCCCACCTCTTCTCTTTCAACTGGGACTACTTTCTAGACCTGCTGAGCAGCTGACATGCTGGGACTTCCATTCATTGCGTAAGTATAAGAGATCTCTTGTGCTGTATCTCACGGTTTTTTCTTTTCTTTTTTCTTTCTTTCTTTGTGTCTTCCTTTTTTCTTTCTCCTTTTCTTTCTCTCCCTCTCTTACAACTACTTTGTTTATAATCCTCTAGCTTCTTCTTTTTTTTTTTTTAAAGATTTTATTTATTTATTTGACAGAGAGAGACACAGCGAGAGAGGGAACACAAGCAGGGGCAGTGGGAGAGGGAGAAGCAGGCTTCCCGCGGAGCAGGGAGCCCGATGTGGGGCTCGATCCCAGGACCCTGGGATCATGACCTGAGCCGAAGGCAGACGCTCAACGACTGAGCCACCCAGGCGCTCCAATCCTCTAGCTTCTTAAGAAAGGGTGCATAAGAAGTAGATCTGCCTGTCTAAAAATGTCTTTATTCTACCTTGCACTAGATTCATAGTTCGGCTATACAAAGAAATCTATGATAAAACTTAATTTTGCCTCAGAATTTTGATGTATTCAATGCTCAAATACTTCCCAGTTCTCTTCAGACATCCTCTGTATCACTGGTATTCTCAATTTCAAGGCAATCTCTACCTCTTTTCATTCACCGTGCTAAGCATTTGGTGGCCCTTTCAATTTAGAGTTGCATGTCCTTTAGTCCAGGAAATGTTTTTATCTTATTTCTTTGATACTTTCTTCCTTTCCGTTTGTCTCTGGTTTATTGTTCTGGAACTCCAATTAGATGGCTACTGGATCTTGTCCTCTTCCTCTAAATCTCCCTTCTTTCTGATTTTCCAGTTTTTCTCTGGTTCTTCCTGAGATTTCTTCGGCTTTGCTAAAGCTTTATCTATTGAATTTAAAATTTCAACTTAACAATTTAGTTCTTATTCTCCAATTAGTCTTTTTCTCCCCCTTATGTTCTTTCTTATGTTTTGGTTGCAATACTGTTTTATCTAAGTATATTAACTATGAGCTATCTTTGAAGTCTTATTTCCTACATTACCTCTATTTCTAGGTCCCTTTCATTTCTCTTTACTTTGGGCTTTCTCATTTAATTTTAGAGATTTCCCCAAAATGTTCAGGATCTCTCACAGTCTAGTATCTATTCATATTAAAGAGCAAGGCACTAAAACTGTGATTAGAAGCAGTGTTTGTGTTAAGGGGCTACATGACTTGAGGGCTTCTCTCTAGAACAGTCCTAGAGAGATCCACTTCTTACTTGGTAGTGAGCAGCCTTTTCGATGGAATATCTTCCAAAAGTCACCAGGTCTTTTCTTCAGAGTCCAGTAAGTTTCTGAAAAGAACCATCTTCCCACTTCCTATCTGAGCTATGGCTGGCTACAAACTGAGAATAGGCTGGGGAAAAGGAGCTTTACCTTAGTATCAGTTTTCAGCCTTCTATCTCTACTCTGTGCCTGGTGTCCCCGTATTTAGGGAGCCCTCTGGAGAACATACCTCTAGCGCTCTGCCTGAAGAGGCAGCTGCCTGGCTGTGCGGGGGAGGGATCTGAGGGGGAGTCGCATTCCTCCAAATACGGACTTTGAAACAATCCTCCTCTTTTCAGCCCATGCCTCACTGGAAGCTCTGATAGCTTCTGACACTTCCAAGTTCTGAATCTCTTGGGATTTGTGAGGGATGAGCTGCTCATCAACTCATTAAGATACTTTAGTTTATGACTTACCACTGCTCTATGAAATTAGTTTCTACTCCTTCAATTGCTTTTATCACAAACTCTTTTCAAATTTCTAACCTGCTGGTATCTCCTCTTTCACCTCTCTGTCCTTGTAGGTTTACGCTTTTAAAATCACTTACTGTTCAGTTTCATATAGTTTGAGCAAAGAGAAGAGATAACTTGTTTAATTAGCATTATTAAATTTTCTAATGCTTGTAGTGAAGATTAGATATATAGAGCTCCTAGAATAATACCTGGCACACAGTAGGCTCAGAAATTTTCTAAACTTGAAATAAACAAATGATTGGTTTTAAAATGATAATGATTAGGATATAAAGAAGCCAAATGCTATTAGGAAAAAGAGGTGATAAAAGTCATGTTTAATGAGCTAAAGATTTAGAATCATAAAATTACAAAATGGTAGTCTCAAAGAAATCCTGGATACAGTCTAGCATAAATAAGAAAATGGAGTTCCAAAGAACTTATATGATTTTCTCAAAGTCAGTTAATAAAAGAGCCTGGACAAAAAACCATCCTGATTCCACAGTGACCTTTTCATTCCCTCAGAACATCAGGAAGACCCCAAATGGCTACAGGAAGCAGGGAGCTACCTGCTTGATAACTCAGGCTCTACATTTGAAGGAGGACGACAGTTATGAGAGAATATTAAGAGATACACAGTAAGCTTAAAAACTCCTTCATTCTTCATTTCCTTCATCATCAAGGGCAGTTTCATACCCACAGCTTCAAAGCCTTACCTGTTTATTCCCTCCCTTCCACCTCTGTTCTCTCTCCCCTTTCCCCACCTGTGTTTTGATGTCTGTCTGACTTAAACCCAAATTCATCTGTTGGCAGCTACTGGGGAATAAGGGGCTGCCCAGAACAAAGAAGAGCCTACTTTAGCCACACTGGAAGCTGTAGAAGGGGGATGATATTTCTAGATGAATCTGCAGGCTCTGGTTTCAGACTTACTTCTCCCAATTCCTTCTTACATTCCTTAGACATTTAAAGAAATTTTTTGGTTTTCTCAAAATGATGCTTCTTAAAATAACTTTCTAAAAACAGTTAACTCATTAACAAATATTTATTTTATTTTTTAAAGATTGTATTTATTTGAGATAAAGCAAGTGAGAGAGAGAGCATGAGGCGGGAGGCAGAGGGAGAGGGAGAAGCAGACTCCCTACTGAGCAAGAAGCCCGATGAGGACTCGATCCCAGAACTCCAGGATTATGACCTGAGCCAAAGGCAGACACTTAACCGACCGAGCCACACAGGTGCCCCAATAACAAATAATCAGAAGAGCCAAATACCTTACCAGTAGGTTGAGGAAAAACAGGGGGAACGGTTCCGGGTGGTACAGCAGGAGGATAATTTGGAAATATTGGTGGAGGCAAAGGGAAATTCACTCCTAAGGAGCCCTATGGAAGTATTTAAAAGTTAGAAGACAATGCAACCAAAACATCTATAGAGATTAATTGAAAGTTTAGTAGAGAAGTCATGATCAATTCTTACCAATTGTTGTAAAGCAAAAAGTGCGGCTTTTTCCTTGGCTTCATTTTCAGAATGGCACTGTGGCCCATGTACCAGTAAGCCATTAGATAATTTTACCTGGCAAACTGTCATTGTCTAAAAAAGAGAATATGAATGTCTATGAAGTTATCTTTCTAGGACATTGACCTCCTCCCCCCCAACCTTAGTCTAAACAAGCATGTGACATTCTGTAAAAAATTCAAAAATTCAAAACAGCAATCAATTTAGTTTTGGGTTGCCCTGCAAAAACTTTAGAATTGTTTCCTTATCTTGCAATGTTTACAAAATAAAATGCTCTTTAAGCTAGCTGAAGGGTCAAGAATCCTAATGCAAACGAAAGCCAACAAAATTTTTCTTTATACCAAGGATTGGAAACTGGGCCTTTTGCTCGTGTTTGTAAGTAAGATTTTTTGTTTGTTTTTTTGCAATACAGCCAAGTCCATTCTTTCATGTATTGCCTGTGTCTGTTTTCATACTATAACAGCCCAGCTAAGGAGCTGTGACAGAGACCACAAAGCCTAAAATATTTACTATTTGGCCCTTGAAAAAAAAATTTGCTGACTCGTGCTTTACACTGTCCTCCGAATAGCAGATATTTCATTAATATGAATTAACTGCCAAAATCTAAAAGACTTAGTGGTAATGACCAATTTTACATTCACATTTAAGTTATAACTCTCTATTATACATTTTTTTCTTCAAAAAAAATTTTTTTTAAAATTCTTTTTTAAAAAGGTAGCCATTTTTATGTAATAATATTAGTTTAAGATTGCTTTCTGTTTTAGGTGAGAATGTATCAAGAACTTGGATATAAAGAGGATAAAACAACCTTTCCTGTAGTAAGTGGTTCTCAAGGTGCAGTCTGGGGAGCCTGAAACCCTTTCAGGAGGTCCTTGAGGTCGAAAGTATTTTCATAATAATATTAAGGTGCTATTTGCCCTTTCCACTCTTAGTTTCTCACAAGCATACAGAGGACAGAAAAGTCACTGATATAGCTTTAGATTCTACATTGCAACTAACTTCTAAGAAAATACCACTTTTAAATGTAGTATCAAAAAATATCCATTATCTGAAAAGGTTATTAAAATTCTCTCCCATTCTCTATCAATCTGTTTGGGGCCAGATTTTCTTCAGGTATTTCAACCAAAACATATCATAAGAGATTGATAATAAGAAGCAGATATGAGAATCTAGTTCTTCCGTTAAGCTAGGGATGGAAAAGATTTGCAAAACTGTGGAGCAGTGCTACTCCTAAATTTTTGAAGTTATTTTTAATAAATATTTTTAATTTTTTTCAGTTTCAATTTCCAATAGAGTTAATAAGGACATAACACAAGTAAACAAAAATTTGGGGGGTCTTCAAAAAAAAAGTGGGAGTTTATGAGGCCAAAAGTTTGAAAACTACTGCTGTAGACCAAGATCCCTAGCTCTATCAATCTGTCCAGGGTACATGGTGCCCAGGTTTCTCTGTCAGCATCTCTGTGGGCTCTGGCATAAATATGAGTGAGCAATAGTGGGAAGTAAAAATCTATGCTGCTCATAAAGTAAAAAAAAAAAAAAACAAAAAAACCCAGCTCCATTATATTATTTTTGCCAAAGATTTTCAGTCAATTTATTTAAGTTCAGTGTTAAAGAAGTTATATAAATGTAACAGTAATATACTATACCTGTGGTGTTCTAAGAAAGGAGAAATCTGGTTGTAGCATTCCAACAAGGGAACAAATTCGAGAAAGTTCAGTTACTGGTGTGGACACAGGAGGGATATGGCTGGGAGCAGGCCAACACACATGGTCCATAGACTGAACATTATGGTATTCGCTAGTACTGTGAGGCTTATTCATATAAGATGCTACCAAAAAACAGAAAAGGATATATATATATATATATATATATATATTAAATTACATATTGAACTGTGTGATTATTATAGGGTTTTATAGATAGCAAGCAGAAAATTGTTAAAAGGTTAAAAGAGGAATCTCTTGGGGCGCCTGGGTAGTTCAGTTGGTTAAGCAACTGCCTTCAGCTCAGGTCATGATCCTGGAGTCCCGGGACTGAGTCCCACACCTGCTTCTCCCTCTGACCCTCTCCCCTCTCATGCTGTTTCTCACCCTCTCTCAAATAAATAAAATCTTAAAAAAAAAAAATAGAGGAATCTCTCATGAAGCAAATACAGGAATTATTTAGTATTTCCTAAAATTACCAAGAATTCAATAGAGATTTTTAGATGATTATAACTGATTAATCATACATGATGATAAAAACATTCTAAAAGTTCACTTTCTTTATGATCAACAAAAACAGAACAAGAGCATATATCCCAGTGAAGAATGAAACTAAGTCTCTTATTATTAAAGATTAAAAAAAGGTAAGTGGCTTGTCCAAAGTCACAGAACTTATTAGCTCTGTAATTTGGGCTGGATTCTGAGCTCTTGACTCTAAGAGATATGATATTCTTCACTATTCTGAAATAAAGTTACTTGTTTATTACAGTGGAACCATCTTTTTCCAGTTTTGTTTTAAAATTTTTATTTTGTTCTATTTTAAGAGCATGTATGTCACCATGATAGTTTCCTAATAGTTACTGGAATTTTAAATTATTTATTCTAATATTCACTAAAATAGAAAATAAACGAAGCTAAGCTCTGATTTTGATCCTTAATGAACTCATTATCGGTTTATTTCAAAATGTTCTTTACCTCTAGAAACTTCTGTCCCCACTTACTTTTATATTAGTCATTCTTCCTAGGAGACTTCTGCAGATAATTTACACAGGCAAAATACTAAAGTATAGGGGACACAGAGAGTAGAAGCAATGATGGACGTGTATTAAAATCTGGCCATGTGCCAGATGGTATGCTACAGGCTTCACAGTTTTAAGATAAGTACCTACTTTCCAATGTCTACCTTAATTTTTTTTTTTTTAAGAGAGGGAGAGAGAAAGGGGGTTGGGGCAGAGGGTAAAGGAGAGAGAGAATCCCAAGCAGGCTCCTTGCGCAGCACAGAGCCTGATGCAGGGCTTGATCCCACAACCCTGAGGATCATGACCTGAGCCAAAATCAAGAGTTGTACGTTTAACTGACTGAGCCACCCAGGCACCCCTCTATTAATTATTTTTAATTGATTTTATAGCTTTTTCTATTTTTATGTTGGTCAAGCTACTGTAACATAGTATTGATATCAATTATTGGTACCTATAATATGCCAGACACAGTGCTAACTGCTTTATATGTATCATATAATTATCATAAGTCATTTGCAATGTTATTCTCATTTTGTAAATAGAAAAAAAATCTTAAAATCTTTATAAAGTTAAATAATGTATTTAAAGTTACATAATTGTTTTTAAATTACTGAGAAAAAAACTAGAATGTGAAAACTTTTCTAGGTTTGGGTACTACAGAGTATCTGCAACAGCACAATTTAATCACAAGACAGGGACTACAGATCTATTGGTTACAGTTATATTACTATTTAATGACACAAGCATAAAAATTATACTCTTATTTGTTACTCTTAATTATGCTCTTTTAAAAATGTATGTACTTTTGGGGGCGCCTTCGGCTCAGGTCATGATCCCAGGGTCCTGGGATCGAGCCCCACATCGGGATCCCTGCTCGGCAGGAAGCTGCTTCTCCCTCTCCCATTCCCCCTGCTTGTGTTCCCTCTCTCACTGTGTCGCTCTCTGTCAAATACATAAATAAAATCTTTAAAAAAAAAAAATGTAAGTAGTTTTATCTTCAAAAAGCACATGACCAAAAAAACCCCAAATGAATCGCAGTTTTGAAATGATATTGGTTATTAGTAATAGTACTTAGTTTACGTACTTAATTTCTTATTTTGTTTAGCCTGGGAGGAAGGTCCATATTCATCTCTTCTATTACAGGAAACAGTGACTTCATTACCAAACTGCTTCATTTCATTTTTATGGTCCACAGCATCAGAGCCATCAATTTTTAGTATTTCTTTAAGCATCCGAGTTCCCTTCTGTTTTGAAAATGGTATGGAGATGGTGGGGTAGGTAGAGAAAAGTTAACATTAGACTTACAGAGCTTATAAACCCTTCTTTTAATGAGTTCCATTGTTAAAAATTAAGATGGTAACTACATTCAGATAAGAGTTAAGTGAAATCAACAGTCTAGAGTTGAAAAAAAATACCCACATTTCCTGCCATAGAAACAATACTTAATCCTTTTGCTTAACCTAACCAAATTGCCTGGTAGCAATGTTTGAAAAGCAAGGGAGCTATATGGTTTAAAGAGGAAAACAAACAAAAAACCAGACAGCTAAATTGCCCAGGGCAGCCTGGTTTTCCTCACAAAATGACAATAATGATGTAACACACCAGTACACGGGAGACAAAACTGTTTAACAGTTGCATGGGGTATGTACGCATAGGCCACAACAGTGAAATTACTATAGTATAAAAGCTCCCACAAAATACGAACCATAGCAAATGATTGTGGTGACAAAAGTTCTTCACTTGGAGGCTCTTCATGATGAGATGACTGTACTTCATTTTCTTTGGAGATATTCAAGGATGCTAAAAAGTTCTCAATTCCAGGGTTAGGCTAAAAGAATAAATATTTTGTGCATGAAGATGAAAATATAAGGACATGGAAAAAGTTAAGAATTTTAGGTACAAAAATGATCATTTAATGTTCACTTAATCATCTTCCCAGTAGAGTTCGAGAAGAGAAATTGAATAAATGGTCTTTTACCTTATCAATAGCATTTGAGTAACTGGTCACAACCTTCTGGTTTTCTGAGACTCCTGCACTTTCATTTCTCTTCAATAGCTTAATATTACATTTGGCAGGCCCTCCAAGCATCTATAAAAGAGTAAGAATGAGCTTTCTGTGCAAATAAAATAGCTGTTACTTAATAGTGTTGTAAATAAATTGCTGCCAATATTTTATGTGCCATTTTCTTTTACATCATAAGAAGGGGACCTATAAACTTGGATGAGGAAAAAACTTAGATCTTTATCTTCATTAACTTCTATATGAATTTAGAAGTTTTCCTTCAATTATGAATGTAGGCAATAGAGGTGATTCTAATTGTATTTCAATATAATTAATTTTCTTTCAAATCTTATGTATTTTATTTTAGCATTAAAAACATTATTCTGGGGCGCCTGGGTGGCTCAGTCGTTAAGCGTCTGCCTTCGGCTCAGGTCATGATCCCAGGGTCCTGGGATCGAGCCCGGCATTGGGCTCTTGGCTCAGTAGGAAGCCTGCTTCTCCCTCTCCCATTCCCCCTGCTTGGGTTCCCTCTCTCACTGTGTCTTTCTCTGTCAAATAAATAAATAAAATCTTAAAAAAAAAATTATTCTGAGAAAGAATCCATAAAAAAGTTTATAAATCCCTTCTCTAGAAGAAAGGAAATTACAGCTAAGAGTTTCAGAAAAAGAGGCCTTAAAAGTCAACCATTTCCTGGTATCTAAATATTAATGGGTTCCATTTACTGAGACCCTGTTATGTGCTGAATATTCTGCTAAGATGTCTTTTATAAATTTGATACATTACTAGCTTATAAGAGATCTAATTTTTAAAAACTTCGTATGACAATAATATGCATATAGAAAATACATATACTGTAAGTGTATGTGAATGTTTTTGGAGTAAAAATTTGTTATTCTTTGATTGTAAAATGTGTATATTCTCCTTATCAATCAGCAGAGACTATACAAAGTAAAACAAATGATCTCAGCTTCCTCCTACCAAGCTACTCCACAAAATTAACCGTTAACTTTGCTATGTTGATTCTAAATGATTCACTGAATACATACACATATTTTCACATATTTTATACATATATACATACATTCATGTATGTAAGTATGTTCGTATGTATGCAGGTACGGTATGTATATATAGACCACATATATGGAGTGAGACAAGTGATCTATTTTTACTCCATTTTAAAGATGAAGATAGTTGAGGCTGTGAGAGGTATAGTGAATTGCTCAAGGCCACCCAACTATTAAATATATGTGTGTATGTGTGTGTGTGTGTGTGTGTGTGTGTGTGTGTGTGTATAATGCCAAATCCTGACTCTGTTGTGTAACCTCCCATCCAAGTCAGGCAGTTGCTATACTTCAGCAACCTCCTTGTCACACACCTTATGGATTTGTTTTTTTTTTTTTTAAAGATTTTATTTATTTGACAGAGACACAGCAAGAGAGGGAACACAAGCAGGGGGAGTGGGAGAGGGAGAAGCAGGCTTCCCGCTGACCAGGGAGCCCTATGCGGGGATCATGACCTGAGCCGAAGGCAGACGCTTAATGACTGAGCCACCCAGGAGCCCCCACCTTATGGATTTGGGCTGCAAAATTCAGATGCCACAGAGCTACCAATTGTAACAAAAAGTTGGCTACTAGAAATATGATTTAAGATAGCTTACCTGCTTATTTGACAGTTTTTGTAATCGACTCTCAGTTTTAGGACTCTTACACTCTTCTTTAACTAAAAACAAGAAAATAGGAATTTTGGTAAGTGAAAAATATTGCTATAAACCAGTTAAATTTACCAAATATTTGCCACAGCAAGGCACTGTGTTGCTGTTTTGAACATTCAAAGAATTCTAAGAAGACAAAGGCCCTTATTTTGAAAAACTTGTAGAGGAACAGGAGAAGAGATACTCACAGATAACAACAATAAGGGAAAAGGAAAGGTGACATGTAATTGAGTCTCCAAGTATGTAAGTCTGCAAAGGGCAGAGTAGGAGGCTAAGCATTCCAGGCAAAGGAAATAATAGGAGAAAAGAAATGGAAGCAAAAAACATGGAATGTATTTATGGAACTCTTAAATAGACTAGTTCCACTGGAGGTCAAGGAGTATAATGGAGCTAATCTGGTAGGCAAAGGGCAATCAATCACAGAAAGGTTTTGAGCAAGTAGTGATCTGATCAGAATTGTGTTTTAGGGAGATTAAAATATGGCAGTGGCTTAATGAATAGATAGGAGAGTAAGAGAAAAACTAGGAAGCTATTTTATTATTCCTGTTAAAGGGAAATTGGGAAAATGGTAGGAAAAATGAAAAGGATAAATTAGAAGAGGAAGGAAGAGGGGTGCCTGGGTGGCTCAGTTGGTTAAACATCCTGGGATCGAGCCCTGCATTGGGTTCCCTGCTCAGCGGGGAGCCTGCTTCTCCCTTTCCTGCTCCCCCTGCTTGTGCTCTCTCTTTCTGTCAAATAAATAAATAAAATCTAAAAAAAAAAAAAAAGAAGAAGAGGAAGGAAGAAAGGAAAAAAAGGAGAAAGGAGGGAGGAAGGAACAAAGGAGGAAAGAGAGGGTAAGAAAAGAAGCAGGGAGAAGGGATGGGAAGGAGGGAACGGATGGGATGAAGAGAGAAGGGAAGAAATGAACAAAGATAGGAAGACAGGGAACAGAAGAGGGAAATAAAAACGGGAGGGGAGGAGAGGAAAGGGAGGTAAGGAGGAAACGGAAGGAAGTAATCTTGCAAAAAGGAGGATATGAAAAAGCAAGTTAACATGTATTGACATTAAGCCTTTGTTGAGACACACACACAATAAAACTAATTGGAATTCCAAATAATGTAGTTTACACACATTCATGTAAATAATAATTTGAAGAAAAATCACAACACATTTCAATTAAATATAAAATCCTTAAGCTATATTTATCAGATTTATAGGGACATTATAGTTAAAATGTAAAAGAAACAAAAATAACATATAGATACTCATGCAAATAATAGTTTAGCAGTTATCAAACTGAACCAAAGTTATAAAACCACAATTTTTTTTTTTTGGAAAATAGCTTTTTAGAAAAATATTTAAAAGGACCATTCTTGGGGTGCCTGGGTGGCTCAGTTGGTTGAGCATCCAACTCTTGGTTTCGGCTTGGGTCATGATCTTGTGGTCATGGGATAGTGGGATCGAGTCCTGTGTCATCAGGTTCCACGCTCAGTGGGGAGTCTGCTTCTCTCCCTCTGCCCCTTCCCCCTATTCATGCTCTTTCTCTCTCTCAAATAAAAAAATCTTAAAAAAAAGACCATTCTTATACTATATGTATGTAATTACACACACACACACACATACACACACACACATACACACATAAAATATATGCAGGTATAAAATATAATAATAGACTCAGGACTCTGCACGTGATTATTTCCTCTGCTGGAAAGCTCTTCAGCAAATGTTTTACATACTTTATCCCATTCCACTCCCCTTCATTTGGGTCTCTGCTCAAATGTTATGTCCTCAGAGAGGCATTCCTTGACCATTCTATAAAACACCCCCCTACCTATACTTTTAATCTGCTTTATTTTTCATCATAGCACTTATCATTACTACACATTATGGAATTTATTGGATAGGTTTTTTGGTTGGTTTTTTGTTGCCTCTTATCAGTCTCCACCTTAGAATGTAAAGTCCACTAGGCTGGAAAACTTGTGTGTCTGGTTCAGTCATATATCCCTAGCACCTAAAACAGTACCTTGTATATTCAGCTCAATAGATAGAAGCTGAATAAATAAATGAATAACAAATGAGTCATATTTTGTTTTTTGTTTTTTTTTTAATTTTATTTATTTATTTGAGAGAGAGAGAGAGAGAGAGAGAGAATGAGAGATAGAGAGCACGAGAAGGAAGAGGGTCAGAGGGAGAAGCAGACTCCCCACTGAGCGGGGAGCCCGATGCGGGACTCGATCCCGGGACTCCAGGATCATGACCTGAGCCGAAGGCAGTTGCTTAACCAACTGAGCCACCCAGGCGCCCTCAGGTCATATTTTGAACACAAAGAGCAATTTGCAGCAATTTGGGATTATTCTGATCAAGAGAAAAACTAACTGCAAGATGAAGATTCTCATCTCTGTATCTGCATTCCCTATTGTGCCTAAAACATAGTAAACACTACTGAAGGACTGAAATAAGTAAAAATATATAAATTATGTAAGAGAATATTAACAACAAAATATGCATATTTTTAATAAAAAATTGTAATACAGGTTAGAGTAACTTAATAGGCAAGTGTTTACACACAAAAAAATAACTGGATTATGCTGAATAAAATTTATTTCAAAAAGTAGTGAGGGGACATCAGCAAAAACGTCAGAGTAAGGACTTTTAAAAATTCTGTCCTCTATAAAGGCCTAGTATCCAAAATCTATAAAGAACTTACCAAACTCAACAATCAAAGAACAAATAATCCAATCAAGAAATGGGCAGAAGACATGAACAGACATTTCTGCCAAGAAGACATCCAAATGGCCAACAGACACATGAAACAGTGCTCAACATCACTTGGCATCAGGGAAATACAAATCAAAACCTCAATGAGATGCCACCTCACACCAGTGAGAATGGCTAAAATTAACAAGTCGGGAAATGACAGATGTTGGCGAGGAAGGGGAACCGTCCTACACTGTTGGTGGGAATGCAAGCTGGTGCAGCTACTCTGGAAAACAGTATGGAGGTTGCTCAAAAAACTGAAAATAGAGCTACTCTATGACCCAGCAATTGCACTACTGGGTATTTACTCCAAAGACAGAAATGCAGTGATCTGAAGGGGCATGTGCACCCCAATGGTTATAGCAGCAATGTCCACAATAGCCAAACTATGGAAAGAGCATAGATGTCCATCAACAGATGAATGGATAAAGAAGATGTGGTGTATATATACGATGGAATATTATGCAGCCATCAAAAAAAATGAAATCTTGCCATTTGCAATGACGTGGATGGAACGAGAGGGTATTATGCTACATGAAATAAGTCAATCAGAGAAAGATAAGTATCATATGATCTCACTGATATGAGGAATTTGAGAAACAAGACAGAGGATCACAGGGGAAGGGAGGGGAAAATGAAACAAGATGAAACCGGAGCAGGAGACAAACCATAAGAGACTCTTAATCTCAGGAAACAAACTGAGCATTGCTGGAGTGGAGGGGGGTGGGAGGGATGGGGTGGCTGGGTGATGGACACTGGGGAGGGTATGTGCTATGGTGAGCGCTGTGAATTGTGTAAGACTGATGAATCACAGACCTGTACTCCCAAAACAAATAATACATTATGTTAATAAAAAAAATAAAATAAAAATTCTGTCCTCCATAAAAGCAACAAGAAAATGGGCATAAATTACCCGAATCCAAATTTTTAGAGTTATGGAAATTAATCCAAGGCCTGTAGCAATCTGGGGGGTATTTATTCAAGAAAAAAGACTGACTCTCACAACAGTGGGCTTTATGGCTTAACTTGCCGTAGTTCAATCCCTACTCTACAACTCTAAGTAGCCTTGAAAAATAGCAGCCAACATTTTTTGGTGGAAACCAATAACCTGGCAGCCACCAGAGAGATCAGAATGAAGCTGAGCTCTTCCAAAGTGTTATTCCCCACATTCTGTAAGGTCAGTGTTAATCAAAGATATCACAAGAAAAGAAAATGACAAATATCCTCTATGAATATAAATGCTAAAATAAAATCCTCAACAAAATACCAGCAAATCAAATCCTGTAGCATATAAAAAAGATTAAACACCAAGACCTGGTAGGATTTATTCCAAGAATGCAAGGTTGGTTCAACATAAAAAACAATCAATGGAATCTACCATATTAATTAAGCACTGAAACAGCAACTGACAAAATCTAATATCCCTCCAAGGGGGGCAAAATCAACAACCAAAGAATAGAAAGGAACTTCCTCATCCAAGGGCATTTACCAAAACCCATTGCTAACATTACACTTAATGCTCACAGATTGAAAGCTTACCCCTAAGATCAAAACAAGGGTGTTCACTCTCACTATTTCCATTCAACATTATGTTGGTGGCTTTAGCTACAGCAATTAGGTAAGAAAAAGAAATACAAGAAATTATATAAAAAGAAGTAACACTATCGCTATTTGCCAAAACCACAAAAAATTAGGGCTAATAAACAAGTTCAGCAAGGTAGCAAGATATAAGATCAATATACAAAAGTCAGCTTTATCTCTATAAACAGCACTGAACAATCCACCCCCAACCACCAATTAAGAAAACAGTTCCAGTGACAATAGGGGTGTCTGGGTGGCTCAGTCGGTTAAGTGTCTGACTCTTGGTTTTGGCTCAGGTCATGAACTCAGGGTTGTGGGACTGAGCTCTGCATTGGGCTCCATGTTCAGTGCAGAGTCTGCTGGAGATTCTCTCCCTCTCCCTCCCCCTCTGCCCCTCACCGTTTCCTCTAAAAAAATAAAATCTTGAAAAAAAAAAAAAAAGAAAACAGTTCCTGACAATAAATAGCATTAAAAATAATAAAATACTAGGAATAAATTTTTTTAAAAGATGTAAGACTTGTACAATGAAACCTACAAGACATCACTGAAGGAAATTAAAGAAGACAAATAAATGGAAAGACATTTTACGTTCATGGATAGGAAGACTTAATATTGTTAAGAGGACAATGCTCTCCAAAATGATCTGTAGATTCAATATAATCTCTATAAAAAGTCCAGCTGCCATTTTCACAGAAATAGGCAAGGTGATCCTATAATTCATACAGAAATGCAAGAGATCAGAACAGACAAAACAATGTTGGAAAAGAAAAACAAAGCAGGAGGAACTCAAAGTTCCCAATTTCAAAACTTACAACAAAGCTATGATAATTAAGATAGTGTGTTCTTTGATTAAGATGGCATATAGATCTGTAGAACAGAACTGAGGGATCAGAAATAAACCCATACATCTACAGTCAACTGATTTATAAAAAGAGTGCCAAGAAAATTCAATGGGGTGCCAAGAGAATTCAATGGGAAAAGAACAGTCTTTCAGCAAATAGTGCTGAGACAACTGGATATCCACATGCAAAAGAACGAATATGGACCCCCTACCTCATACCATATACAAACACTCAGAAATGGAAAGAAGACCTAAATATAAGAGCTAAAGCTACAAATCTCCTAGAAGAAAAGATAGGTATAAATCTTTGTGACCTTAGATTATGTAATGGTTTCCTAGATATGACACCTAAAGCACAAGTAATCAAAGAAAAAGTAGAAAAGATAAATTAGAATTGATCAAAATTAAAGACTTTTGTTTCAAGGACACTATAAAGTTAAAAAGACAACCCACAGAATGACAGCACATATTTGCAAATCAAATATCTGAGTATGCACGTTATACATAGAAGATGTAAAGGACTCACACAACTCAAGGATGAAAAGAAAAATAACTCAAAAATGAGCAAAGGACTTGAATAGACATTTCTCCAAAGAAGATATACAAACTGCCGATTGGCACATGAAAAGATGCCCAATGTTATTAGTCATTAATGAATCGCAAATGAAAACCACAAAGAGACTTCACTTTACACCCACCAGGGCTGCTGTAATAAAAAAGATGGGCAATAACAAGTATTATGGAAGATGTGGAGAAATTGCACTCTCATATATTGCTGGTGGGAAACAGCAGTTGGAAAACAGTTTGGTAGTTCCATAAAAAGTTAAACACAGAGTTATCATATGACTAATTCTACTTATTTGGATGTATACCCAAGAGAACTGCAAACATATGTTCAATCAAAAACTTCTACATGGATATTCACAGCAGCATTATTTATTATAGCCCCAAAGTGGAAACAACCCAAATGTCCATCAATGGATGAATGGATAAACAAAATGTAGTATTCATAGAATGGACTATTATTCAGCCATAAAAAGGACTGCAAACAAATCAATCAACGTGATACATTAACAAAAGAAAGAACAAGAATCATAAGATCCTCTCAATAGAAGCAGAAAAAGCATTTGACAAAGTACAGCATCTTTTCTTGATAAAAATTCTTCAGAGTATAGGGATAGAGGGTACATACCTCAATATCATAAAAACCCACAGTGAATATCATTCTCAATGGGGAAAAACTGAGAGCTTTCCCCTAAGGTCAGGAACGCAGCAGGGATGTCCACTATCACCACTGCTATTCAACATAGTATTAGAAGTCCTAGCCACAGGGGCGCCTGGGTGGCTCAGTTGGTTAAGCGACTGCCTTCGGCTCAGGTCATGATCCTGGAGTCCCGGGATCGAGTCCCGCATCGGGCTCCCTGCTCAGCGGGGAGTCTGCTTCTCCCTCTGACCCTCTTCCCTCTCGTGCTCTCTCTCATTCTCTCTCATTCTCTCTCTCTCTCAAATAAATAAAATCTTAAAAAAACAAAAACAAAAACAAAAAAATGAAAAAAAAAAGAAGTCCTAGCCACAGCAATCAGACAACAAAAAGAAATAAAAGGCATCCAAACCAGCAAAAAAGTCAAACTCTCACTCTTTGCAGATGATATAATACTTTATGTGGAAAACCCAAAAGTCTCCACCCCAAAACTGCTAGAACTCATACAGGAAATCAGTAAAGTGCCAGGATATAAAATCAATGCACAGAAATCAGTGGCATTTCTATATACCAACAACAAGACAGAAGAGAGACAAATCAAGCAGTCGATGCCATTTACAATTGCATCCAAAACCATAAGATACCTAGGAATAAATCTAACCAAAGAGGCAAAGGATCTGTACTCAGAAAACTATAAAATACTCATGAAAGAAATTGAGGAAGACACAAAGAAATGGAAAAACATTCCATGCTCATGGATTGGAAGAACAAATATTGTGAAGATGTTAATGCTACCTAGAGCAATCTACACATTCAATGCAATCCCCATCAAAATACCATCCACTTTTTTCAAAGAAATGGAACAAATAAACCATTTGTTTGGTTTCATACCAAACAAATTTGTATGGAACCAGAAAAGACCCCGAATAGCCAGAGGAATGTTGAAAAAGAAAAGCAAAGCTGGCGGCATCACAATTTCAGACTTCCAGCTCTATTACAAAGCTCTCATTATCAAGAAGTATGGTACTGGCACAAAAACAGACATATCGATCAATGGAACAGAATAGAGAGCCCAGAAATGGACCCTCAACTCTATGGTCAACTCATCTTTGACAAAGCAGGAAAGAATGTCCAATGGAAAAAAGACAAGTCTCTTCAAGAAATGGTGTTGGGAAAATTGGACAGCCACATGCAGAAGAATGAAACTGGACCATTTCCTTACAGCACACACAAAAACAGACTCAAAATGGTTAAAAGACCTAAACGTGAGACAGGAGTCCATCAAAATCCTAAAGGAGATCACAGGCAGCAACCTCTTCGACCTCAGCCGCAGCAACTTCTTCCTAGAAACATTGCCAAAGGAAAGGGAAGCAAGGGCAAAAATGAACTATTGGTACTTTATCAAGATAAAAAGCTTTTGCACAGCAAAAGAAACAGTCAACAAAACCAAAAGACAACTGACAAAATGGGAGAAGATATTTGCAAATGACATATCAGATAAAGGGCTAGTATCCAAATCCTATAAAGAACTTCTTAAACTCAACACCCAAAGAACAAATAATCCAATCAAGAAATGGGCAGAAGACATGAACAGACATTTTTCCAAAGAAGACATCCCAATGGCCAACAGACACGTGAAAAAGTGCTCAACATCGCTCGGCATCAGGGAAATCCAAATCAAAACCTCAATGAGATATCACCTCACACCAGTCAGAATGGCTAAAATTAACAACTCAGGAAATGACAGATGTTGGCGGGGATGCGGAGAAAGGGGAACCGTCCTACACTGTTGGTGGGAATGCAAGCTGGTGCAGCCATTCTGGAAAACAGTACAGAGGTTCCTCAAAAAGTTGAAAATAGAGCTACCATACGATCCAGCAATTGCACTACTGGGTATTTACCCCAAAGATACAAATGTAGGGATCTGAAGGGGTATGTGCACCCCAATGTTTATAGCAGCAATATCCACAATAGCCAAACTGTGGAAAGAGCCAAGATGTCTATCAACAGATGAATGGATAAAGAAGATGTGGTACATATATACAATGGAATATTATGCAGCCATCAAAAGGAATGAGATCTTGCCATTTGCAACAATGTGGATGGAACTGGAGGGTGTTATACTGAGCGAAATAAGTCAATCAGAGAAAGACATAGATCATATGACCTCACTGATATGAGGAATTCTTAATCTCAGGAAACAAACTGAGGGTTGCTGGAGTGGAGGGGGGTGGG